GTGCCAGCTGGACGGAAAGCATCGTAAAATACTGCTATCAACGAAAACGGAAACGCCAACGTCTCTCGCAGTGGATCCAATTGGAAGATATCTCTACTGGGCCGATCAAGGACAGAAACCGTCTATTCAGGTGCATCACTTGAATTTTTGTGGCTACAGCAAAAATAATCTTTCAGCATCACCTCTTGTGAGCAAATTTCCAATTTTTTCATCACTCAGTTTTGGCTAAAGATTTTAAACAAAAATGGTGAATTTTCCGTGCATGAGTTTATTAAACCGTATTGATGCGCTGTTATTTTTTAAGCAGCAGCAAAGGAAAGTATAAGTTGGCTACGTCAAAATGCTGGTCCCTTCTCGCACTTTTTTAGGCAGATACGGTATTTTATACATTTTAATGTTTCGGGGCTTAGATTCATTTTTCTAACACAGTTTATTAACTGTTAGCCCGTCTGGCAGCACTTGTCCAACAGCCGCCGTTTTTTGGCAAAGCTGCTTATCTACGCCCGTGTCTCTTTCTTTCATGAAGAATGAATTATGACTGGATTTTGATGGTGGCTATATTTTAGCGTGCACTTTTGGATGGAAGTAATCGTCAAGTGATCGTGCATGGAAATATTGCCGAGCCAACAGATTTGATTGTGGATCCAAACAGCCATATGGTATATTGGACTGATGCAAAGCTTGACGGTAAGCGCGTTATCTTTTGATAAAGAATAGCACGAATAATTCATTGCTTACAGACTGCGATAAAAATAAATTGAGGACCCTTGTTGTACTTTACTATTGCACACCAGCCGCACACAAAACTGAGTATGGTTCTGACAAGTGCAGCAAGGCAAATGTTTCGAGAAAGTTTTGGCTTGCTGTGGCTGCAGTTCGTTACATTCCAATAAAAATTCAAAATAACGCATTCACTATGTGTCTTAGCATTTTTTTTGACTAAATCTAACAGATAATATTTTCTCTATAGTAATTTTTTTTTCACATTGTTTTTAGTAAATATCCATTAACTATCTGCCTTATTTTTGCAGGGATATATCGTGTTCGTGCTGATGGTGGTACACCAGAGCTAGTGAGAAACGACATTGCTGCAGCGGCGGGCATTTCACTACGTGGACAGACAATGTACTGGACTGATAATCGCTTGGAGAAGGTCTTCTCGGCATCCAGGTTTGAATTGCTTTACTGTTCAGTTGTTTTTTGACCTTATTTTAAAAACACTTATTTGTGTTAAATGAACTAATCAGGGGCAGACCTTTATTTTAACGTGTAAGAGGATAGCAAATGAAAACTGAGGAGGGGGAGGGGGAAAGGATGGAGGGGAAAGAAAGGTAGGATGGCGAAAAGTGGCATTGTCTCATTTACTGATGTGTTCTTGGATGTTATCTTGAAGTGAGATAAAGTAAAAGAGCTGTTTTCGTACCTTCCACGGAAATTTTGTTACTA